GGCAAGAGGAGCAAACAAAAGAAGTAGTCTTTCGATGTATATTTATACTGTTTTAATGTTCGGTATACCTTCAGGGCCTCATTGTGTTACTAATGATCGAGAATATGAATATGGACAGAAACACTCTAGAATGCTAGAAAGTTTTCAGCACCACTTCAATGGTAAACCATCGCAACGTTGCTCATGGCAACAGACATTTTCCATTTCAATCTACTTACATGACCAATATCATATTACCGAGTACAGAGATATCTACATTGAACTACCACGATAAAATAGCACTTAAATATCGACCAGTGATTGTCAGACATTTGTTCAGAAATATATCCCTCTGCAGTCATTATTTTCGTTTCCATGTGTTATATAGTTTTGCATTCTTTGATCATTATCAATACAGTCCTCTCTGTGTACAGATGTATGCCAATTTTCATTGTGTTTAGTGCACCCTTTTAGTTGTATTTTTTAATGATGTTTGCGTTTTACAGTGAGTTCCAGCTCAATTCCCGGCCAGTTTCGAAATTGTCGTTACTTTGACAGTAAGTCAAAATATATAACAAGGACATTGTGAGTCAAGTAAATCTAGACTGGTTTGCCAAATAACCAGGTTTGACGAGTCAGTAGTCCGTGGAAGTACCTGTGTAATGTGTTGGTGGTTACCTGTGAACTTGTATGTTGTCATATCCTGCAAGTGAGATGACATGTTATTTGGTCATGTAAGCATTCAGTCAAGCTATTATCAGGGGTAAAATTCTTTTACTCTCAGGGTTCTCCACACTTGCCAGGGGGGAAACTCGTCTCGTCTCTATATCTCGTCCCCTTGAGGTATGGGATCGGGAAAGCCAGTTTAACTTCACAGTCAAATGAGACACACACAACGGAATACGTTTCAGCTCTCGTCTTAGTCGGTCAATCAAGCACTCTATAAGACACAGCGCCCTGGGGAAAAATCCCCAAGACTATCGCAAAGCTGATCCAAGACTCTCTTAGACTGCGTCAACACTCGCCCCAAGTCTCTCCAGGACTGCTCTAGACTGCGTCTATCGTGCTGTGCTCCCCAAGACCAACTCACTCCAAATCACTGAGCCAAGTTCCGTCCAAAACTTCAAATAGGCCTAAACGATGACAGACATAACACAGCAATTCAGCTAATAATCAGCTAATTAAGTCGGTCAACAGATACGCAAAAACAAATTCATGACACATCCCTTCACCCAAACTGAGATTGTGCCTCCTGGCATAACACGTTCACAAATCAAAGATACCGTCAGCCACTCATCGTCATAGGGTTAAATACAATACTAAGAAAAATGATAAATCAAAAGAGTAAAACACTAATTAAGTACAATGATTATAAAGTCTAAAAACAATGGTTATAAAGTCTCAAATATCAACGGTTATAAATCAAAAACAAGGGAAAGGCTACCAATCGACTCACTTTTCTCAAAACAGTTCGTTGAGGTAA